AATCAGCCACTTTCAAATCACTATTATATATATTGGTAATGGGGGAGAGCCAATCTTTAGGACACCAATTATCAAGCCAAAACTTGTTGTCCCCATTACCAAGCTCCCAGCTGTAGTTAGCTTCAGCAATATGTCTGATTTTCAGCATTTTCACCCAAATTCTAGAGTCACCAGTTTTCCTTAAGACCAAAGTGGGGTGCTGATCTTTGCAGTACTTACTCCACATGAATTTTGCCCATAGTGAGTTTTGGGTCCTGAACTTAATCTAGAGTTTACAGAAATTGAGTTGGAGGAGTTGTTTAAGGTCCTTAAACCCAATTCCCCCAGCAATTTGGGGTTTAGCAACTTTCCTCCAAGAAGCCCAATGCATTTGCTGTCTTTGACCAACCCACATGAATTTGTTAAACATTCTCTCCAGTTGTGCTTGGGTACTTTTCGTTATAGTAGTCATTTGTAGTATATAGGCTGGGAAGGTAGTGATTATGCTCTTTAGCAAGGTAATTCTTCCCCCATTAGATAAGAAGGTCTGAGTCCACCCATTAAGAAGGTTGGAAATTTTATTCAGAACCTCATCAAACTGAGTTTGTTCAGCTCTGCCAGTAATTAAGAGCACCCCAAGCTACTTAATAGGGAGTTGAGTATTTGTGAAACCAGTATAATCTGATGCCCAAAGTTTTTGAGTGGAGGGTACATTTTTATAGAAAACCATTTGACACTTTGCTGGATTAAAAGCCATACCTGAGAGAGCTTGAAAATTCTGGAGAGTTTGGAAGACTTTTTTGATAGCATTTTTGCTGGCTCTGGAGAAAACCATTATGTCATCAGCATATAGTAAGTGAGTGATAACAATGTTGGATCTGTTATGATATCTGTGTTGACTATGATTCAGCAAGGCTTCATCCAGCATTCTGGACAAGTAGTCAATGGCAAGTATAAAGATGGTAGGGGAAAGCGGATCCCCTTATTTTAACCCTCTTGTAGCAGTGAAAGAGCCCTTCCCTTGCC